CAGATGATGCAAGAACAAACACATCAACAGATGATGCAAGAACAAACGCATCAACATATAATGCAAGAACAAACGCATCAACAAGCTCACCAACATCCACCACCCCTGCAGCATGCTCCTCCAGCGCAGCATGCTCCTCCAGCGCAGCATGCCCCGCCAGCGCAGCATGCCCCGCCAGCGCAGCATGCCCCGCCAGTGCATCATTCACAAATGCATTATGGTCAGCATAGTCACCCAAAGCCTCCGCGGCCGCCAGACCCACCCCGGCAGAACCAGAACCCACTCACTGGTTCACTCTACACGCCTCGCTTCTATTACTTGTTGGAGAAGCGTCAGAGGCTGCCTGCATGGGCAGCTAGACAAGAGTTCTTGAAACTCATGCAGAACAATCAGGCGAGAACTGTATTGTGTGTGAGTGTGTTGCGGTCAGGAACCACTACCTAAGGCCTTGCAAAGATCTAAAAAGGACACCGATTGAATTGGTGCTTGTCTTGTTTCCGTTCCTTTTCTCCTGGCTTGACGCTGTTCGGCTCAGGTCTTGGTTTTGGTGGGAGAGCCTGGCTCGGGAAAGACCACGCAGCTGCCACAGATCCTGTTGGATGCCGGATATCATGTACAGCTTGGGCAGGTTCGAGCGATCTGCTGCACCTCGATAGGGCAAACCAAAGCGTTTTCTCCGATAACCATGATTCTACTTTCCTCAAATTTTGGACAGCACTGTTTAATTCCACGATCAAACGCCCAACCCAAAAGTTTTTTGATCCAAGTCTGAGTCTGAACCCGTTTTGGAGCTTTGAGATGCGCAGGGCCTTGGGGGAGTCTACAGACCGCTTCTGTTGTTAGACGCTTGTTCTTTCAAATCGCTAGTGACACGCCATAAAGGTCATAATTGAGCAGAGGTATTTAGTCCATAGTCGTTTGTGTACTTGTGTTCAGCAAGAGTGTTTTCATCTCCAAGGGTTCAAGAGCTTTGTCGGTCTGAGACACTCTGAAGAAGCGCGTTCGTAGAGTCTTAGAGCAATTTGGATCTTCACCGGCACGTTTTCTCAGAACATGCCATCCACGGCAAAAGGGTAATAGAACAACTAGTAGTAACAAGAAGCTAGTAGAAACAAGTGCCTTACTAGTAGTAACAAGAAGCTACTTGGAACAAGTGCCTTACTAGTAGTAACAAGAAGCTAGTAGAAACAAGTGCCTTACTAGTAGTAACAAGAAGCTACTTGGAACAAGTGCCTTACTAGTAGTAACAATGTTTGCTACTAGGAACAACGGTTCCACGATGCTCTTGTGTGCTTTGGGTCTCAACGTCCTGAAGACCACCTTGCGCACATGCTTTAGTCATCCAAACCACGAAGCGAAAACGCCCAACAACGACGAGGTCAAATGCGGGAGACTGCTCTTAGTAACAAGTGCATTACTACTAGGAGCAAGAAGCTACTACTAGCGATGCCGATGCCCTTGTTACTAGTAGCTTCTTGCTCTTAGTAGCGATGCCCTTTGTTAGTAGGGGGAGACGAGAGGGCCCCAAGCGGCCCTACCGCCAAGGTGTTCAGCCCACACAGTTGGCCACGATCAGCGCAGCCACACGAATCTGTGAGGAGTTGGAAGTGCAGGCGGAACCCCCCAGCTGCCGTTGAATGACTCTTTGATCAGAACTGTGCCGTTCTGAAGAACGGCATGGGAGTTCCACTCCAACAACTCCAAGTTTCCCTCAAAATCTCCTATCCTGCTTCCAGTTACCTAGTAGCATCCACTTGTAGCTACTAGCTACCTAACCTCCACCTCCACCTCCACCTCACCTCGAGGTGGGCAGCTTCGTGGGGCACGTGACCCGCTTCGAAGATCGGACCTCTGGAGATTCCCTGCTGCGCTTCGTCACGGAGGAGGCCTTGTTCCCAGTAGCGATGCCCTTTGCTCCTAGTAGCGATGCCCTTTGTTACTGAAAGCTTCTTGTCACTAGTAGTAAGAATGCTCCTAGTAGCGATGCCCGGAGCCCCTAGTAGCGTCCTTGTTCCGAGGCCTTGTTCCGAGAGGCCTTGGAGGATCCGCTGCTGGAGCGCTACAGCGTCATCATCCTAGATGAGGCGCGGTTTTAGTGCGTGCGTTTCAGCGTATGCAGCGGTATATGTCGCGCGTGCGTGCGTGCATGTGCATCATATTATATGTATGTATATATACATTATATATATATCTGCTATATATGCGCATGCATTTCGCGATTCCCACAAGACATAAAAGGAACATTTTGGTACTGCTTGGGTCGTAATGAGCCAAGCAGTTGCTGAGAACATGTGACATGCTGTGGATTTTGCAAGAGTTAGTGCAGGTGCAGCAGCGTACCTGTGAGATGGATGTGCTCCTGGGTATCTTGAAGATGGTGATGCAGAGAAGACCTGAGTTGAAATTGTTGCTCCTTTCATCCTCTGAAGAGGTGAGGAAAGTGCAATCTCATTTTGAGGGTGCACCGCTCCTAAAAGTGCCACATCGCACGTTTGCAGTGGAAGTCCTTCACACACAGGAGGCTGAGAGAGATTACTTGAAAGCAGCGGTTCGCACCACGATTCAAGTTCATACCACGGAACCTGACGGTGACATTCTCCTTTTCCTCCCGCATGAGGATGAGATTGATTTAGCCTGCCAAATGCTGAGAAAGGAAGCCGTCCACCTTCCCGTGCATTTGGATGTGCGGCCAATTTATGTCGGATTGCCGCTGATGGACATCCAGCGAGCTTTTGAGCCGGCTCCATCCAGGATGGGTGCCGTGAAGTCAGTGCGGAAGGTCGTGGTTGCCACCAACGTGGCAGAGACCTCCTTGTGCATCGACCACATTGTCTACGTCATTGACACTGGTTTAGTCAAGCAAAGGGCTTACAACCCCAGGACAGCATTCGGATATGTGGAAACATGTGGAAACGATTGTTTGTTACCTATCTGAGTCATCTGAGGTTGCTGTAAGTAAAAAGCTGTGTTTGGATTCCATTTTTTTCGACCACAAAGTGAACACATAGCGAACGCAGGTCAAAAGAAGGTGTCTCATGGTGTCACTCCGTGCTGCTTCGGAACGAGGACCCGGGTCGAAGCACAGATCGTCACGCCGATCTCCAAGACCTCGGCCCTTCAGCGAGCACGCTTAGCTGCACGCACGAAGCCGGGAAAATGCTTTCGGCTTTATCCAGAAAGAGCTCAGAGTGAATGGCCTCCAATGATTCAGCCAGAGATCAAGACGCTCGTCTCAGACTTGCAAGACTCTTCAATGACTCTTTCTTTTTGTTGGGCCCGATGAGCAGCAAGACTCAAAAAAATCAATCCTTTACCGATGCCTTCACCTGAGATCACTGACATATCCTTTCCTCAGGCGATCCAATCTCACTACGATGGTTCTGATGCTGAAGCGCTTGGGTTTTGATGATGTGGTCCATTTTGACTTCGTCGACCCACCATCACCAGAGGCGCTCATGCGAGCACTGCAGACTTTGAACAATTTGGGTTGCTCCTTAGCGACAAGGAACTAGAACCCGCTTTCTGACTGTTTGCTTTGGTGTTTATCTTACCAGGCCTGGTAAGATCAGAGAATTATTAACACAAGCCAGAAGGCTTTGGCTGTGTGCAGAACTTGCAGTAGCACTCAGGTGAGAAGATCATATGATGATAATATATGATAATATCATTTCGAAGAATAGGTTTAGTCAACAAGGCTTGACCACAACAAAGATGAACACTTCAAAGGGTCTTAGGTCTTTGTTGCCATCCCTTCGTGAGAAGAGGCTTTGAGCTGAGGCATCGATAACAATGGCAACATCACGGAGGTGGGAAACCAAGCAAGCCGACTTCCGGTGGATCCTCAAATTGCCAAGATGCTCATCGAAGGGCCCAAGCATCGGTGCAGCCTCTTGGCGATAGGAGGAGACTCCAACCTACTAGCTAGTAGTACGGCCAGGAGCTACTAGTAGCTTCTTGTTACTACTAGTAAGGCACTTGTTACTAGAAGCGATGCACTTGTTACTAGTAGCTTCTTGCTCCTAGTAGTACGGCCAGGAGCTACTAGTAGCTTCTTGTTACTAATAGCAATGGCCTCCAACCTGTGTCCTCATGGCTGTTTGATGTAAGAGATGCATTGAGACTCTTTGAGACGCTTGTAAGCCAAACATGACATATCTCATGACATAGTGCCTGCAAAGTGTATCCCTGTCAATGCGTTCAGCAAGAGACACCGATACACTAAGACTTTCAAGAGCTTAGGGTTTAGGCTGAGGGCCTAGGGTTTTGGGTAGCGACTGGCATATTATCGTAGTGGCGTAGAACGCAATGCGCCCATCACCAAAAAGTGTAACCGCATATATAATCACACTTAAGGACACAGTTTGCAAGAACGCTCTAGTAACAAGAACCTGCTAGGGGCTCCTGGCATCGCTATTAGGAGCAAGGACGCTACTGGGGGGCTCCTGGCCGTACTACCAGGAGCAAGTAGCTACTAGTAACAAGAACGCTCACGAGTGAAGAAACGGATGAAGAGAAGCATGTGCACGAACAGCACGGCGTTCATGTACAAGTGAGGCAACGAGGCCTTGTCCATAGCCGCGATGCTTTCTTCACTGCCGGTGTGGCTGCGACCAAATGATGCTTTCAGAGCTGCCAACGAGGCCAAAGCACGCTTCGCACATATGGATGGTGACCACCTTACCTTACTCAATGCTCCTTGGTGCCGGTGCAATGCCGTTTGGATTTGTTTCAAGAATAACTATAAGTAATTACACTACTAGCGATGGCCTCCAACCTATAATATGCCTTTGAATTACACACACCTACCCCCGCGCGCGCGCGCGAAAAGGCCCTACTTGTAGGAGGATTCTTGTTTGCTAGTAGGAACAAGTGCCTTGCTACTAATTAGAATTCTATTTTAAATTTAATTCTAATAGCTTCTTGCTACTACTAGTAAGGCACTTGTTACTACTAGTAAGGCACCTGTTACTAGTAGCGTGGCACCTGTTACTGTTTGCTTCAGGTGTTCCATGCGTACAAGCAGCAAATTCAAGATGGGCACGATGCCGTGCGCTTCTGTGCGGAAAACTTCATCTCGATCCGTGCGATGAGACATGCGGAGGTGGCAAGAGACAGTCTGAAAGTCATTATGGAGAGCATCGGCTTGCAGATGGTTAGTACCGACTTCCAGGAGCTGTGAAACATGAGTATTAGTTCCTATAAGTATTTCTTTCATTCTGCATATTTGGAGTTGGAAGGACTTGTGTTTGAGATGAAGGATAGGTATGCCACGGGTTCCAGTCATGAACTTGGGAGGACAAGGAGTACTATCCGAACATCCGGAGATGTTTGGTTTCCGGTTTCTTTATGCAAGTGGCGTGCTTGGAGAGCGAGAAGCGGGCAGCTTATAGCATGCTCCGAGAGGGGCAGGACAGGCCCTAACCCCCTGCAAGCATGGCATTTCTGTTTGGCCAAATGCACCTTTGAAGGGCTCGCCACATTGTTCTGTTGCTGGTTCTATATATCTTATGTGGAGGCCATCGCTGGTAGGTTGGAGGCCATTGCTATTATATAGATTCTTTGATTCCAGCATGCAGCTGAAGGAAGTGATCCTGCATCCATCAACCTCTTTGGGTCATCGGCCTGAGTGGCTTGTTTTCCATGAGCTTTGCCTATCCTCAAAGCTCTTCATCAAAACAGGATCTTCGGACTGAAGTGTGAGTAGGGTTTCCCTGGTTTCTCATGGCTTTCAGTTGAATTTTGGGCACCTAGTTTTTCCTCACCGACATACTTGATAGCCCGGGCTTCACAAATGCGTGAGGTACCCAGATCAAGCCTGAATGGCTCTTTGACATCGCGCCAAGCGGATACTTCGATGCCCAGAGAATCAATGAGAAGTGCTCCGCCAGAGCCAAGCTGGATCGTCTCCTGACCAGACGCTTCTCGCAGGGCTAATGCCGCTTCACTCTAAGCGCAAGATAGATGAGCAGGTGTGAAGGCGTTTGACCAGTGTTGCATGGACCAGGAAACCTGAGGACCAGCCACTTTGGTGTATGATTCAGAGGCAACTCACCACATACAATCTCAAGGTTCGCGCGCTGCGAAAAAGATGTGGAGAACCTTACTCAGATCTACCCTTGCACGTTCTTTTATAGCAACATAGAGCCGGATTTTCAACTTGAGCATTGAAGTTTATGTTACTACGAGCAAGTAGCTACTAGGGACTCCTGGCCTTACTACTAGGAGCAAGCACGCTACTAGTAACAAGAACGCTCGGAATGCGAGTTTGCCGCAGAAACTTGTGCAAGTTGGGCTCAAGGCGTGCCCGGCCACTGGCACCGGGCGTGCGAAGGGCTCCATGTTGCGTTCCGAGAGTTCCTGGAGGGAAAAGGAAACGATGCACAGGGAGGGCTTGAGGGATTTCCTCTTCATGGTTGCGCGCAGCCCTCAAAAGCTGGACTTGCATGTCATGAAGCAAAGGAAGATATGGGAGGAGCACGACAACTCCGCGAGCACCACGATGGAATCGGAGAAGTCACGCAAGAACCCAAAGCCAAAGCGTGAAATTGTTAGCCTTTGATGCGCGAGAACTGTGTCTTGGGTTCCTATCCCTAGACCGTAAGTTTTATCTGTTTAGGCTGTGCGAGACTGCCAAGTCCATGTCACAGCAATGCAGGCAGCAATATGCTTATTGCTTCCCTTTTTGGCTTATTGCTTCCCCTGGGAGGGCCATGCAGCCAACTGTTGCATGTGAGCTTTTCCTGGGATGTCGCACCCACTCACGAGAATCTGCAAGGGGAGTCTTTTCTCCAAACATCTCCAAACAATTGCCTCAACACCGCGCGACTTACCTTGTGGTTCCTGTGACTCTTTTCTTTTTGACTTAGGCACATACATAGTGAGAGAAACTTTCTACTTCATTCAGCACACGCATTCGGTAGAAGTGACGATCTTTTCCTTGAACGGTGAAGAGCCACTGAACGAACCTCCGTCCGTGACAAAGGGTGGAGGTCGTCAGGGGGAATGGGTGTTCCATCTATGTGCCGCTTACTTCGTCTCACTTACTTCGTCTGCTTTGATACATGTTGATACATCAGGTCCAACCTGAGAAAACAGGAAACAATTCGGACACCAGACATCGGGTGTTCTGCCAGCTGACGCTTACGGCAAAGAAAAGGAATGAAAAGGAATCACAACATGTCCTCATGAGGTCCTGATGAGGTCATTTGCTTGGCTGGTCTTTCTCAAGCTCGTAAGAAGAGTTTACCCCGGTGTACCGCGGCCATAACAAATCAAGCGACGGACCTCAGAAACTCCGGCAAGTCGCCATGAAACGAGTTTCTAAGACATCGATGCTTGAGACCTTGGATGCTGTGAGGCAGCAACTGGTCACGTCCTACGATGGCATCGCCGAACTGTGTCACCAGCATAAGGAATGGCAGCGGTCTGTGGAAAACATGATCCGCCGCTTCGAGAATGACGTTTCGCAGCCTGTGCTAAAGACTTTAGCAGAGGAAGAGCAACCTGCGCTAGAGGACGGCAGTGCAGGCAGCATTGAGCCGTTCCAAAACCAATTGAGTCGTTTCTGTATGTTTCTGTAACACTTAATAATCCATGGTATGACAGAGCTTCCATGCGATTTGGCCAGGCATTGCTGGTGACAGTGCAGAGAATCCAGATCAACCCCCTCCAAATGCAGTCGGGGAAGAACGTGATGCACCGATAGAGAGCCGCGCTCGCGACTCCCGCAACAGCATGTTTGAGCTCAGCAATTTTGTTGTTGAAAGAAAAAGTAGTCTACGGAATTCCAAAGGTCCAAAAGAAGAAAGAGAAGACAAACGAAAAGAATCTACAACAAGAAAGGTCATTACTGATCCATAGTGGTTCCACAGGCCACTCACTTTCACCCTCTGTGTGTGAATGCGATCATTTGAGGTCTAACACAGGACACTCAGATCACCTTGGGAACCCTACAGTCGTCAAACCAGATGAGTCCTGACCGCTCTCACAGATACAAACGGGCCCATTTGCACAGAGCTGGGCGGATGTCTGCCATACATCCACTCTTGCAGTATCTAGGCAGCAGAAACAAGAGGCTAGTAGTAACAGGTGCCACGCTACTAGTAACAGGTGCCATACTAGTAGTAACAAGAGGCTAGTAGTAACAAAGGGCATCAATATGAACAGAAATGTGCGCTTTGCTTGTGCTTTGCTTCTCAGAGCGGTGGCCTCCAACCTAAGACCAATGGCCTCCAACCTAAGAGCGGTGACCTCCATACTAAGACCGATGGCCTCCAACCTAA